GTGTGTGTGTGTGTGTGTGTGTGTGTGTGTGTGTGTGTGTGTATTTCCTCCTATAGGAAAGGTCACCTATATGTAGAGCCTCAGTAACAAGTGACATGACTCTGTCTCCTCTTGTTTACAGTTACCCAGCATTCCTGGTGTCCCCTGACAGCTGCCACATATGTAATGTCTTGTGYCCACAACATGAAGTGTGTAAAACACATTTTACTGGAGGGAAATGTGTGCTGAAAATGAGGGAATCGTCAGTTCAGGAAAATGCACAACAGGCCTTTAAAAAGCGTTTATTTTTGGGAGAAAAAAAACAAACTGTTCACTTGAAAAACTTGTGTCAATTTTAATCCTCAAAAATTGAATCTATATTTGTGTTTGCACCAAATGATAGAAAACAACCGTTTTTTTTTTTTTACAATTTAGTAGGTTATTTTAAAGACAAGTCCCAAGTTGCTCCACTCACACTGCCTGCCCAAAAAAAAAGGTCACACCCTAATATTTCATTGGACCTCCTTTAGCTTTGATTATGGCACACATTATGATTTATTTATTTCCATCCAGTGTTGCATTAATTTTTCACCAAGATCTTGCATTGATGATGGTAGAGTCTGACCGCTACACAAAGTCTTCTCTATTTTTCTACAGCAGTGTTGTGTGCCTTGAACGTGTAAAATCTTATAAGAATTAACCCAGACTAAWAAATAAATGTAACCAAAGTGGTAAAAATGTTTGGTTCTTACAGTCTGCAATAATCTAAATGTGAGRAGTGCTTTATTGTACCGCACAACATTTCTCTCTTATGCAACTTTGGTTCATGAGCAACATGACAGCTGTAATGATTTGTCAACACAACCATGAACAGTTGAAATCCTGACGCTGTGGTTCGTCTGTGTTTTTGAGTGCAGATGGTTACATGTCCTCACCTGGAGGCGCTCCAGCAGTCCAGTTAAAGCCTGCAGCCAGGTGAGCGTGGTCGCGTACTGCTGAGCGCTCACCACTTTGGTTTCGTGCTCCAGYTCAGGGACGATGGCCGCAGTTCGCCAGCCGTGACGCAACGTCAGGTCCTAAAACACACAAGAACGCAGGTTAGGTTAACGGAGGTAAAAGGACCTAAACGTTTCCTGATCTTTTTTATTTTGGGAGAAACTAAAACATAGATAGTGTTTATCCAAATAAAACTTTGAACTTGTTGGAAAACAGTTTGGTGGATGACTTTATTTTAGGACTGYAGTTAGTTTTGGGTTGGATCCAAATATGCTGCTGTTGGTTTAMACTTTAATCTGAACATTACATACATAGCTTTTACCATATTGTTTTCTTTACTTCTCTTTTTATTTCTTCTTTCTTTTAAGGAACTGTATATTACAATATGAGCCGAAACGAGCATGGCGTTGTCAGTTTTGAATCACTCAGTTTGCTAGAAAAACAAAAAACAAAGCAAAACTGTTTGGATTTGTTTTTAACAAAACCATGCATGTTACGAGTATGGTTTAGATCTTTTAAAGTGGATTCTGTGGAAAAGTTAAGAACAATGATTATCTTACCTGTTTTTAAAAGCTCGTTGAATGACATCAGCCTATTTAAACATAATTTAATCCAAAACAGATTGACTAATTAATGAATTATTTGGTTTAGGGCCTGTCAGACTAGCCATTAGCTTGTCCGTCCAGTCAGAATTAAATTGTGTTTCTTCAAATTAAGGTTATTAAAAAGTTATCTACAACACGTAAGACATTAGTTGTTCATAATCTGCCCACAGAAACCAACTTCAATAGATCCAAACTGCTGCTTTAATCGTTTTAGAATAAAATACTTTGAATGTTATTGTAGGGAAATTATGTTGGATTTGTAATGGTGCAAAAAGCATTTCCTAATACTTACATAAAAGTTAACTTTAGGTATAAAATAAAACCTGCATGCACCCTATGTTTTATTCGTTTCTTTTAATCTGGGTATAGTGATTCATTGCACTCTATAATGCAAGCTATTCATTCTAAGGTTTTGCACCCTAAWGCTAAATTAAGAAATATTAAACACGATGTCAGCACTTTCACTTGTATGATCATGTCATATCAGCAAGCAAAGCAAAAGTCACTGTAAAATGTTCCACTTTGCTGTGTCACACCTTAAAAGACACAACACAGGAAAAAKTATCTTAGTCACCACTAATGTTGAGTCATAATGTGGACTTTTACTGAGGTTACTCAATAATGGTGAAATGATCAAACTTTGATACTTACAGCCAGGTCGCTGTAAAGATGATCTCCAAAGTAAAGAACCTTTGAGCCTCGCCAGCCGGTCAGTCGGAGAAAGTCAAACAAGTTCCCCTGAAACACAAARCTTGTTAATTAATCTTGTTAACCAAGATGCACACAAGTACAAACTGGAGTTGAGCAAAATCATCACATGTTCATTTACATGCCGTAATACTATCACGATTAATATGTTTGGCACTTTGTGATTAGTGCCCATGATGATAACAAATTTTGTGTGCGACGCACTACTATCAAGCACACATTTGTGGTAGAATGACAGAAGGTGCTAATGCTAACACAGATCTAATGTTAATCCAAAGCTAATGCTAAAACAGATGTAATGYTAATCCAAAGCTAATGCTAATGCAGATCTAATGCTAACACAAAACTAATGCTAACACAAAGTTTATGCTAATGCAGATCTAATGCTAGTGCAAAGCTAATGCTAATGCAGAGCTAATGCTAAAGCAGATCTAAGGTTAATGCGGAGCTAAAGCTAACACTACWMACTTGTTTAATCAGTKGAAACACTGGYATAAAACGGAAAACGAGGAAAGCCAGAAGATATGGACCAAAGCMACACAAAAAATCTCCTCCAGCAAAAGTTAAAACAAATCTACTTGACCAAAAATCCACTCATTCAGTCTATMCTTTACTAGCGACAAAGTAAGCACTGGGAGGAAATAGCACGGGCCAGTACACAGGCTAACTGATTTAGAGTTGAAAACATGCAAGTGCAATTGTCATCTATTAATCGTTGTATTAATCTTTATTGGCTAAATGCCACAAATAATCGTGATTTTTTTTTTTCCGATATCACCCAACCTTAGAACAAACATATCTGTAACATCGGCAGAGAGAAACAGGATTTATTAACCAGGTGACCCAACAGAAAACACAGCCTGATGTGAAACTAACCTGCTTGTACATCTGTCCTTTGTCCAAACTGGTGATCTTTTCCCATCGAAGGTCTCCATTTCCATCCAAGCGCCTGAAAGGTCTGTAACAGTAACAATTTAAAAAACGTTGCTGACAGCACTCTCTAAAACCAGGATGGCTTAGTCACGTCTAAAAACAGTTACTCACTTGACACAATCTGTGAAGAAGTGAGGTTTCTCTGCCTGCACAATCACAACGTCAAAGAAGTCTCTCCAGTCTTTCCCCACCATGTGCGTCATCCCCTTGTCCCTGCACAGAGGGGAAAAAATAACACGTTGCAACAGCTTGGTTTGCTTTTGCATTTTGTTATGAGTTGGCGTGAGCTACTGCAGCTGCAGACCTCACACAGCTCCAACTCACACAAAGCTGAAGGGGCTGTTGGTGATGAGGAAAAGCTTCTTTCCATGACTGACCAGTCGGTTCAGAACAGACTCGGTCTCTTTGGCTCGCAGGATGAACTTGTCTGTAAGGTCCAGGAAAATGACTCAGCGGTGCAAAATGTAACTCTGAATATGCTGCACTGGCATAAAGAGGGGTTCTTACCCATATCTTGCATGACCCATTTGTACATGTAGCCTTTGAGGTGAACCATGCCGATGGCTTCCTGAGGATTAGGAATACAGTTTAATCAGACACGTTTGAGGTTATTTTTTGAGTTAACACAACGCCCTGTRAGCACTCAGGAAAACATTTATTTTAAGACTGAGAGGCACTGTTTCAATTAGGAACTTCTCAGTGTACTTTAGCACAGGGTGTTCCCCGGTAACTGAAAGCTTTGAAGCCGCAGGAAAAAGGAGGAAAAGCCAGCATTGTTCCTGGCTCCACTCGAAATTGGTGCTCTGAAAACTTTGCCTCAGCAGATTCCTGAGCCTCCAGCTGTACGCGAACAGAACTGGACGTGTAAGCAGTCACATACACACAGCCAGGCCTGCACGTTCCCAGGAGTGGGAGCTACAGGCCGAGGCCAGAACTGGACGGCAGCACGTCTGGACGGGAAACTTACAGAGACGTCCTTAAAGAGGTGGACTGGATCGTAGTCAATATCRTTGGTGATGAAATAGTTGTTCGCCACGGCCAAGAGAGTCATCTCAGGGATGGAGAAAACATCCATGAACTGCTTTACTTTCGGCCCCTGAGTGCAGAAAGTGAATTAAATTAGTAGACTGACTTTAAATTTAAACCAGTCATAAGCAAACTGGAGGAACACAATCCAACCTAAAGAGATTAGAAACACATGGAAACTATTCYGAATAGGTTTATTTAAAGGTTAAATAAATAATGAAGTTGCATGTACACAATTAAAACATCTGACCCCAAATCTACCAAACAGGATCAAAAACATCAGTCCAAATYGWTCCTAATTAGAAGCCTGCTGGTTTGACTGTGGTCTCTGCAGGTTCAACAGAGCCGTTCTTTTTCCCGTCTGCACTTTGTAAGAAATAAAAACGTGACAATCTAAACTTTGGMCACATGGTGCGTTTTGCGTCAGCCGCTTTAGAACTGGAACATTCCAGATGATTCATGAAGCCAACAGTACAGACAAGATCACAAACATCATTTCCTCTTATGCAACGCTGCAATCAGGCAAATCCCAACATTTTGGAAGTATCTGAGGACAGCCACAGATTACACCCTGAATTTGCCGGGGAGTGGCCAAACCAGATTATAGCGATTGTTTGTTCTGTCTGAACYGAACARTCAACGGGGAAAGCACAGAAAATCYGATAAAGAAACTGAAGWACGCCTCTGCACCAAATTCTGCCTAAAAGTTATTTCACAACTGAACCAAGGAGTTTGGCAAAAACWATCCAGGAGAATTATCACAACTAAAAACACTTTGTACCTTTCCATAGAAACCACTGTCCTGCTGCAGGGGGACATGGAAGGTCCCCCCATASAGCTTAAGAACCTCCTCATCAGGCAATGGACTCAGACCCCTGGGTAGAAGACAGATGGGTTTTAAAARCACAAGTAACTGATTATTTAACTAATGTTTTAGCATTTAGAAGCAAAGATAAAAATATACGTTAAGACAAAAAAGGTGCAGCTGCTCTTACCGATACACTGTTCCTGGCTCAATGTAATGAAAGGCATCGATTTTCATCAGAAGACCCTATAAAACAGTGGAAACAGATTACTTAACATTGTCAATAAAAAAGYGAATTTAAATATGGGTTACTGCAGTGAAAAGGTAAAATAATGTACCTTTTGGATGTCATAGTGAAGCCCCCGGACAGTAAAGTTGGGAATATAATCATATTTAGCGATGCCTTTGGGGTACTGTGAAGTAAAAAGACAGAGTGGGTGATTTAACATAAATTTGAATGTCTCTAAGTAATTTTTCTAACACAAGTTCTGTGAAACCCACCTTAAAGTGTTCCACCAGGAAGCCCCTTGCGGTGTCGTAGATCAGTTTGTTGAGAGTGCTGGAGTACTGGGCTAAAGTGTAGTCATAATCAAAGCCGTAGATGTCCACTTCAGACAGGTTGACTTCATTGTTGGCGTAGATGACCGCGGAGTTGAGGCTTTTACACGCACCTGGTGGGATCAGGTCTGATCCAGGCAGGACAGATGAGAAAACATGACTCAGTTTTAACAGTGAGGTGTCAAATCAGGCAGAAAATAATGACCCAAGTGAAGTAAAAACAAAAACAAAAAACAGTGACTTTCTGAGTTGAAAAAGGTTACAAAGCCTGCTGAGTGTGCATTTCTGCACAGTAGGAATGAAGTTCAACTGCTGCTGTTTTCAATCCAGTGGTGCTGGCAAGCTCAGCGGAGGTTGCGCAACACGTGGTTCTCATATGTCAACTGTTGACCAAACCAGATCAGTCGAAGAAAAAGAAAAAAAGAGAACATTTTGTGCAGAGGAATATTGTGTTCAAATGCAACGCAGCGTGGCAGCACAGAACTTCCTGTTCACATGGGATTGTTTCTGCTATTTACTCTTTATAACCACTTTTCTCACAAGTACAACACAGTGCAAAACGCGTGCATGCAGACGAAACTGTTTACAGTTTATTCCCAACACAGACGTCATTCTGGTGACARAATATGGACAGCAAGTAAAGTTCTCTTTGATCTATATGGGAAAGTAGGTTATGGCCTTCTATCCTGGGACAGTTCAATGGGAGCTGCAGCTGGGCATCAGACTTTTACACCCAACAACCCCCTGCTTGGCTGCCATCCAGCCTTCCTGCTGTTCAAGCCCCTCACTGTTCATGCAAAGTCACTCATTCTTTTTCAAAACCAAATCTGTGAAATTGCAATTCTGACCAGGAGGAATGCATGACCAGCTTTCCCTAGAAGCTTCTTTTATTTTGAAAATTTGTAGAAGGAGCCAGTCACTGTAGGAAAACACTGTCTGTGTCAACATTTRGAACAAAATGCACATTAGTCACACTGAACAAAACCACTCCTATAACCTGACTGAGTATAACCTGTGTCCAGTTTTGTTTTTTAAACAGAAACAYTAAGATCCCTGGAAATAGGGCTGGGCGATATGGCCCAAATTCGATTTTCAATTTTAATCAATTTTGCTTCCCACTKAATGGCGTGCCTCTGTTTCAGGTGTCAAAACTAATTTGTTRTACTCCCGGTTTTTGTAGCAATATACAGATTTAGCAGTGAGGTGTTCGTTGCTCCAAGTCTGAGGTTGCAAAACCTAACCAGTTCCAGAAAACTGTAGAAACACTGCCTTTTTTGGGGAAGTAGATCCTCTTTGCTAGCTGCCGTATTGTCATGTTGTGTACCATGCAACTTGAGGGACAGATGGGGTGATCTCTGAGCTACAGAAGCCCCAGAGTGCACTGGTGAGAAAAAAAAATCTCGATTTTCCAAAAATTAAATCTTCATAAATGAAAAATTCAAATAAATCGATTAAATCGATTTATCGCCCAGCCCTACCTGGAAACTTTTTTGTACTTTTATCAGTTTTAACTGCTTTTTTTTTTTCATTTGTAGATCTAGATTCATTTATAAAACATAAAGCATCATATCCCACTTGTCCAGCTGCAGAACTGCCACGTTGTTTGCAGGATTATACATGTAATAATAACGACCACATAAAGTTGAAAAGGGCCACGATGCATGAAGAAATTCTTCTTTGAAAATCCATTTAAATGAGATTTAGTTATCTGGGTCAAAGTTGAAGATGCTTGAAACCTCGCCCTGTACCTTCCTTGTTGTGTGTGCAGACCTGCTGACAAACAGGGCTAAGCTAATATAAACAATCCTGAAAAGCTAATATATTTAACCCGTTTGGGGACGCGCCTGTTTGTGCATGTTCACCAATCCGTTTAAAACACATTTTAAACAAAATACAGCAGATCGRCAGCATCGCGTTAGCACAGTGCAGAGAAGATTAGTCAACACGCTCGTTCATTGTTTTTGAGAATGTGTAGTTCACGGTGCCTCGTATAAAACAGCTCCGCCTCTCCAGCGTAAACCTGAATTTAAAACGAAGAGCGCTCATATTTAATTTAAAAAGGAGGATGAAGCTACTCTAAACGTACAAAATGTTCCTGCGGGTGGATAAGCATCGCCGAAGGCATGATGACGTGGAGTGTTACCCACTTCCTTTGAGGTGGGGCGGTGACGGAGAGGACAAAGGGTGCCCCCTGTGTACGTGCTTACCGTAAACAAGCCGCTTCATGTCGTTATAGCGAGTCCACAGGTAGGAAGTCTGGTCCATGGGTGCCGCCTTGGAGGTGAAGCACCGTCTCCTCACTCCCGGGACCCCCGGAGCCCCCACCGCCTCCTTCAGCCTCCTCTTGTCCCCGCTCGGACTGTGTGGGGGCTCTCCGCTGCCGTGAGACGACTGRGAGCTCTGCTCTCCTCCGCTCTGGTTGTTTTTCTCCTCCTGCCGCAGCGTGGTCCCTCCGAGCTCCCTGCATGATGTGGAGGAGAGTCTGCTCCCTTTAGGGGACCGTCCAACAGGAGGGGTCCTGTTGCCCCTGGTCCACAGTGCACGAGACAACGTGGTGCTCGCCGTCTTCAGAGACATTTTGTTTGTTTGTTTTTTCCACAGAGAAAAGTTTAACACGCCTTGACTGTCTGCTGCAGAGTCTCCAACTGACTGTAGGCGCGCGTGAAAACACAAAACAACACCTCGCTTTCATCGAGGCCACGCCCCGTTCGCAAAGCCCCGCCCCCCCAGTTAAAGAGAGGGTTTCTTATCTCCGCTGCTCGTCGTTATTTACATCTGTTGACCACGGTTATCTGCGAAAACATTCACATGAGAAAACTGTGGCGTTTGATGCGTTCAGAGCGTATGGCAGGAGTAAACAGATATGTGTGAAGTCACGCACGTCACGTCACACACCCCTGCAGGCCACAAGGAAAAACACCAATCAGTGTAGKATTGCACACCAAACTGTAACAGAGTTACTTATTATTCGGTTTAAAAATGATGTGGCATAAAAAAAAACATCATGTTGTGAAAAACGTGGATAAGAAAAAAAGTAACAATATTCAAATAATTTAAAAGCAAATGCTGGAGTGKAAACTAACATTAATGATGATATAAATATTGTAAACTTTTTATCATGTTTGTGTCCTCATGCAGTGTTTTGAAGAGGTTATGGAGGCAGGCTAGTTTCTTATTGTTCTATTGGAATGTACAGAATGTACTTTTGTATTGTTTTGCTGAAATGGTTGAAGCCTTCACTTAAAAAGGCAAGACACTCCTGATGGGAGCAAATGTTCCTGCAGACTATTACTCAGCAGAAATGTTGCCTTTGGCACACCTACAGTAACTGGACAAGCACACACTAACCACGCACATTTTCCTACTCTTTTTTCCCCTTCTTCTTCTTCTTCWTCATCATCAGACCAAGTGTCTGCAACCTATACAATCAAGAGCCATTTTGTCCCTTCATGTGTCGCAAAACACGCTACAACTCTTATCAACTGGTGGCCCGCGAGTTTGTTGAAGAGAGACTTCCTGGCCAGCGCAGGTGACACTACCAAACTAAAAATGCACAATGAATTAAAATATATATTTACATATATATACTTCAGGACAAAAAAAACACCGTATATGTAAACAACAGTGTTGTATAAAGTACCTTAAAGTGATACTTGAGTAAAGGTATACAAGCTATCATAAAATTATTATGGTAAAAGTTAAAGTTTTCTCTAAGACTATTACTTGAGTAAAAGTCTTAAAGTATATAATTTATTTTGTACTTCAGTATCAAAAGTTAATTTCTGACATAAAATGTGCTTAAGTTTTAAAAGTAAAAGTATTGAGTAAAAGCGAGTGGTTAGATTTTCCAAAATGACAGTTATTGGGAGGTGACCTCTCAAAAAAACACTTTTTAAAGGTGTGCAGCATTGATGGATTGTATACAAACTCATACGGAGTCAGAATGGTATACATTTACGGTATACTTCTCATATAAATATACTGATATACCTTATAATACTACTTTCTACTTACCCTTTCAAAAAATGTAAGGAGTTGAAAGTACAGATACATAATTGTGTAAAATGTATGGAGTAAAAGTAAAAAGCTGAAAAATAATTACAACCAAAATTTCTACCTAACAGTAACAAAGTATTTATACTTAGTAACTGTACAACTCTGGTAAACAAGTACATACCGGTAGTTCAAACTTAGTTAAAACTAAAACAATAAAAATGTATGTTTTTGTTTGTGTTTTTTAATTGTATTGGTTTATTTTTTATTTATTTATTGTTGCTTGTTTGTTATTTCATCAGCTCATTATTTCTTCTCAGCAAATTCTATATAAACAAGAAATCCTGATGGGTTTTAGAGAAAGATCATCCTATAATGCTGGAAGTTGGATTATTAAAGTGGCCAACAAACTAAATGATCTCTCCTTGTATGTAAACAATTGACAGTACAACTGCTAATGCTAATCTGCCCTGTTGATTAAATAAAACAATTAAATCTCAAGTTAGTTTTGGTCAGAGCTCTRCTTCAGTCAATCAATCAATAACCAGGTAGAAAACCCATTGAGATCAGGATTTCTTTTACAAGGGTGACCTGGTCAAGAGGTCTGCATGACACRTCACAGAGGAAATCAGAGTTAAAATTTACATTGTGGTTCAAGTACAACAATTTAAGATACAAGATTTTATAAACAGATTTACTTCCTGTTGCGCTGCAGAATGGCAGCACTGATGAGAGCTCCTCTTCAAAGCAGTCCTGTATAGCCTCATCAGTCAAATTGTCCCACTTGTAAATAAGCTTGCAAACAGGAAAAACTGGTTCGCAAGATTATTTACAAGTGGGACAATATGGCTGATGAGGCTCTACAGGCAAGGGTGTTACTTTAGGTCTACCTTTGGGGGGTTATGCTCTAAAACCCTGCATGTCATTTTTAGCAATTATGCTTAAAACGTAGATATAAGACATTGTAATTTTTTTAAATCAGGTCAAAGTTACCTAAAGACAACAAGAGAGTTGCATCTGTCTACTTAATGAGTTAATTTCTATTGTGTTTGAGCAAACAATGTCATTTTATTGGGGGGGGGGGTATTTTGACTGGATCAAATTATTGTGGGGGGTCATAACCCCCCTCAAATTACGCCTATGTCTACAGGACTGCTTTGAAAGAACTGATTGGCAAATGTTTGCAGACTCAGCTGATGGTGACATCAATGCATACACTAACTGTCACAGGCTACATAGGGAAGTGCATTGATGACATGCCTAAAACCTCCATCTATTCCTACCCTAACCATAAACCATGGGCGTGACCACAGGTTCGTACCAAACTTATAGCACGCACCATTGCCTTTAAATCGGGAGACCCTGAAGCCTACAAAACAGCCAAGTATGATCTCAGAAAGACCATCAGGACTTCTCAAAGGGAATACAGGGAAAGTATGGAGTCTGCACAAAAAAGTAATGACCCTAAGCGCATGTGGCATGGATTGCGCTGTATCACAGGCTGTAAGGGTAAAAACAGGCCTGTTGAGCTGTCCAGTGCATCATTCCCAGATGAGATCAACACATTCTATGCTCGGTTTGATGCAGACAACACCACACCMATCACCAGGCCGCAAGGGGACAGTAAGGACACAACACTCCACATTGACACTGCTACAGTCAGACGGGCGTTCAAGAGAGTAAACCCCATCAAGGCACCAGGACCCGATGGCATCCCAGGACGGGCACTAAGAGCGTGCGCTAACCAACCCGCCGAGGTGTTCACTAACATCTTTAACCTGTCTCTGAACCAGTCTATGGTACCCACCATCTTCAAGACCTCCACTGTTGTCCCCATCCCAAAGACCACCACAGCATCCTGTCCAAATGACTTTAGGCCCATTGCACTCACTTCTGTCATCATGAAGTGCTTTGAACAAATCACCAAGACTCACATCTGTGCATCCCTCCCTGACACCCTGGACCCTCTACAGTTTGCATACAGAACAAACAGGTCCACAGACGACACTATGGCTCTAGCAATTCACACCTCCCTCAGCCATTTGGAGAAGAAAAACACCTATGTGAGAATGCTCTTCATTGACTGCAGCTCAGCTTTCAACACCATAATCCCCTCCAAACTGGTCTCCAAGCTCACAGCTCTGGGTCTGGAGAAATCCATCTGCTGCTGGATATTGGACTTCCTCACCAACAGACCACAGGCARTGAGAATCGGCAGCCACCTTTCTTCCACACTGGTCCTCAGCACTGGTACACCTCAGGGACGTGTCCTCAGTCCACTGCTGTACTCCCTCTTCACACACGACTGTGCCGCCAGGCACAGCTCAAACATCATCTTCAAGTTTGCTGACGACACCACCATCTTGGGCCTCATCACTGAAAACAAAGAGCATGCCTACAGAGGTGAGCTGGAATCACAGACCAGCTGGTGTCAGGAAAATAACCTCTCACTGAATGTCAGCAAAACTAAGGAGATGATAGTGGACTTCAGGAGATAGCAAGGAGGCCAGCACTCCCCCATCTATATAAATAACTCTGAGGTGGAGCAGGTCAGCAGATTTAAGTTCCTTGGCATTCACATCACTGAGGATTCAACCTGGACATTACATGTAGACACTGTGATCAAAAAAGCCAGACAAAGACTATACTTCCTAAGAAAATTAAGGAAGTTTGGTATGAACACCAGTGTAGAATACTGACTGTGAATACAGTTATGTTGAAATTTGACCTCTCTGAGTTGCCGTAGGTCTGCACATGCGCAGAGAGTCAAGATGGCGAGGTCACCAGGTGTATGTCTCCTACTGCTCACGTTTTGCCAAATAAACCACTTTCAGATTTAATACCGATGTCGTTTTTTATAAACATGACACAAAACAACCAGCATCCTCACAAACTTCTACAGGTGCACTATTGAGAGCCTGCTGACGAGCAGCATCACAGTGTGGTATGGGAACTGAACCAGTCAAAGCCAGAAATTACTATAG